ACCACTCCCCCCAGGAGCTCCCAAAGCCATTCCTCTGTCTGGTATCTGGAAGGTAAAATCCTCATCCCAGAGGCAGGGTCTGAGGGCTCCTGGCTGGCATGCCACTGCCTAGTGCTGGGGGCAGCAGAAGGACCTGAGCCTGCAGGTCCCTGTCCTGGTGCCAGTGGGAACTGGCTGTGCTGATGGTGACTCATGGTCAGGGCTCTTCCTTCCCCTTCCCAGGCTGGGATCTCAGTGTTATGCCATGTGTCAGAGGTGGTAAAGCAGGCATGTGCAGGGGGAGGTGCTTGGAGGGGGGACACCAATGTTTCAGCTCCCCCCTGGGGGCTGCAATCCTCCTCTCAGGCTGAAGGGCGAGAGCCCAGCATGACGCCTGTCCCACTGTCCGGCTCAGGGATGGGCACAAACCAAACAGTGTGTATGTGGGCGGATAAATACAGCTGCCTGGAATCCTGCTTTATGCCCCCTCCCCAAGTCCCTTTGATCAGCTCCTGACCCCCTCGGCGGGGCCATGCACCATAGAGATGCATTCGTGGCACGGTTGGGAGCAGCGGAGCCGTGGGGAGGGGGCAGGAGCCTCGGGGCCACTCCGGCACTGGGCTAGACTCAGGCTGGATTAAATACCCTGGGACACCAGTGTGGGGTGCCCAGGGCTCCCAACCAGCGAACGCTGGCTGCGCTGGTTGGAGCTGGCTCCTGTGAAACTCCTGGGGCTGGTCTCAGTCCCAATGTGGGTACCCAGCTCTTGGGGGCAGGGGGTGGGAGCCACGAAGTTCAGTTACTGCCCTGACGCTGCCGGTTATGCTCACGGCACGTTTTCAGTCCTGAGGGCTGAGGTCCCTTTTTAGAAGCCGAAATGCTGGTGCCTGTGGCTGGGGGTGGATTCTGTCACCATTCCAGGGCCGTGCGGGCGAGCGCCCAGCGCCCCTAGAGGATCCGGAGCGCTGCAAACTCGTGCAAATGCCTCTGGCTGCAGATGGGCATTTCCTCCGAGCCCTGGAAACTGATGCCAAGATAAAGCCGCTCTAGGATGTCACATGCAGAGATAATATTGTGTTTGTCACAGCTCTGGCAGACCTGTGGTAACCAGCTGCTTCCCCAGCTCAGTGGGTGTGTCACCCAGGCCCTGTGCTGGGGGGCCACAAGGAGTGCCTGTAGCCTTCTTTCTCCAACCCCCCTGTTCTCACCAGCTGCTACATTTCTGCCCCCACCAGGCTCCCCAGGGGGCGCAGACCCTTCAGGGTGGGGCACGATTTTAACAGATTTTTTTTAAAAGACTTGTTTTTTCTCTTGAAAGTTGGATTTGCTGCACAGCCCCCAGGGCCTGATCCTGCTTGTCCTGCAGCCCGTGTGAGCCAGGCATGCTGGGCAGGAATGCCTTTAGCCTCCTCCTAGGACCCCAGGGGAGGGTCCGCGTCCAGTCAGAACCCAACAGAGTTAAGGAGAGTCCAGCTAGCTGGAGCTAGGGCCCCCGTGCCCAGCCCAGAGTAGCCAGGCCCAGCTGCGGAGGAGAGGAGAGGGCACAGGCTGGCCATGGGGCTTGGCAAAGGATGCTTGAGGCAGCCACAGGGAGGGAGGCAGACAGTTCTGGCCCCAGCCTGGTTCTGATTAGCAGGGAATGGGCCCCTGCCAGGCAGGGCACCAGGGCAGGGGCAGGTCACTCTGGTCCTGAGGCCTAGAGGTTAGGAAGGACGCGGCCTGTGCGCCGAGTCTGGAGCCAGGGGGCGGCTGGTGAGGAGCTGGGGGCTGGGCCAGGCCCTGTGGGAAGGGCAGAGCCCCTCAGCAAGGTGCCGGACTGGATCTGTTGCGACTCCATGGCGTGAGGTGTGAACGACCCCACCCGGGCTAGGTCAAACCCAGCCGTGGCATTCGGCTCTGGGCGCCACCTCTTCAGGAACCTGGCTTGAAACCCAGCAGCCCCCAGGGCAGAGCGCAGTGCTTTGAGAGTGTTAGCTAGGGGGACCACACGGGCGCTGGGATGGAGCCTGGCAAGAGCCATGCCGGGACGGATTCAAACCAGCCTGAGGCACTAGCCCCCCATCTGAGCCCTAGCCAGCCCCAAAGGGCCCCTCAGTGGCTTGGGTCAATGGCATCACCCAGCCGTTGGATACACAGCTCCGCCAGTGCTTGAGCAATTACCAGTGGGCTCCCACCCTGCCCCTTCTGGGAAGGGACCTGGGCCCATGTGAACCCTGGCTAGTTCCCTAATGCAACCACAGCCTGGAGAAAAGGGAACTTTGCAGGGCTTGGCCGTGTGAAGAGTTAAGGAGCGAGTGGTGAGTGCAGGAAGGCGTTGCTCTGTGGTTGTGGGGCGTCTTGCTGAGTCAATCGCAGAACCCAGCTCACACCGGACAGTGCGTCTCCGCCGAGCAGCCGGATCGGAGCAGTCGCTGCTGCCTTTGCCATCCCAGCCCCAGCGAGAGAGCGATCGGACTCGTGCGGGGGCTCCTTGGCTTGACCCCGCCAACCAGGATGAAGATGTGGCTCGTGGCCGGCCTGGTGCTGCTTCTCAGGGCTGAAGGCGCAGGTAGGGGCGGGGGGCATCGCGGGTGGCCCCAGGGCTCTGGCCTTTCCCGCAGGGGTAGGCCTCGTGTGCAGGGCAAGCTGAGCGCAACCTCGGGGAGGGGCTCAGCAAGGCCGGGGATGAGGCCCCGAGTCTTTCAAAAGCCCAACAGCCGGAGGAGGCGGCACCTGGCCGGGAGCAGGCCTGAGCCCGTGATTGGGCCTTGCTGGGTCCTGCCCGACCCTGCGCCTGGGGAGCCTTTCGAGGGCTGGTTCTGAACACGGGGCCCGGGGTGTGTGGGCTCTGCGGTGGGGGTGGGGGGCTGCTTTCCTCTCTGGCTCTGGAGGAGCCAGCGCTGGGCCGGGCGCCTCTAACGAGGCAGTGCTCGTTCTTCAGACCTGAAGGAGTTGGTGACTAAGACCCTTGGAGGCTTTTAGGGGCCTGGAAAGGGGGCCGAGTGCAGGTTTGACTGGCAGGACTGGCGTCTCAGGGGTCGCGCAGCGCTGGGGGCGGCCCTGAGGCAAAGGGGCCTGCGCCAAACCGGCGCCTCCAGGGCCGTCCTGCCAGTGGCACAGGACAGCAACGTGCTTTGGCTTGAGTTTTAACTAGGGGCAGTTCTGGGGGCAGCTTCTTGCTTTGTTCTGCACCCGCCTCCTGCTGCGAGGCTGGACACCCTGTGCTGAAAGTGAAACCCCTCCGAGCAGCTCCCAGGGCAGGCTGGGGCCAGTGGCAAGTGGAAGCCAGTCACACCCAAACGAGCGACCCCCCTGCCCAGCAGCCCCTATGTCACCCAGATGGTTTCACTTGGCTTGTTAATGGGAGCTCCACGCGCAGCTGTGGCCCTGGAGTGGGGCAAAGATCCAGTGTTGTGCCCCCAGCTGGGCACAGACCCCTGCCCAAGCCCTGCTGACAGCTGCTGTCCTGAGTTACGTTCCAGGGGAAGCCGGGCTGGGGTGGGGCCAGTTCCCTTGGCCCTTGTTTGCACGTCGGCATTTGCAGGCCCCAGGCTCTCCACAGTCAGCCTCAGTAACAATCCCGCAGGCCGGCTGCTCCCCGAGGCAGGGTGACTAGACAGCAAGTGTGAAAAATCGGGACAGGGGGTGGGGGTGGGGGGTAATAGGAGCCTATATAAGAAAAAGCCCCAAATATTGGGAGTGTCCCTATAAAATCGGGACATCTGGTCACCCTACCCCGAGGGCTCCCGTCACTCGGGCACAGACGTGCCCAGAGCCAGGGTGGTTCCAGCTCTAGGACTGGGGGAATCACTTCCCAGCTCCCTGCCATCCTTGCTCAGCCCCATGCAGCTCGCCTTGACCCCCTTCTGCCCCACACGGCCCCTCTGCCAACCCCATCTCGGCACACGTGTGTGTCATAGACCCTCTCTCAATGGAGAAGCCTCCCCTTTTCTCTAGCATCTCCCCTTTGGGCTGAGACCCTCTCCCCAGCCCTGTTCCCTCAGCCTGGACCCTGCAGATCCTGGGGCACTCTCTGAAAAGTCAGGGTTTGCACAGAAATCCTCCCTCCCACATTTCCCCGCCTCCCTATCGCTGCCTGCAATGGGATCGTCGCCTGGCTGCCCCACCCCTGTGGGGCTGCTGGGACCCAGTGTGGGAAGTACTTTGGGATCTTCCCCTTCTTTTCCTGCCCATCCCAGATGCCCCCTCCTGAGCTCCCGCCCCCCAGCCCAGTCTGTCTGGAATATGGAAGCATTCTAGGGGTGCCATCCGAAGGCATCGCACCGGGTCCTGGAACACCCTTCTTCGCTGCCAGCCGATTGACTGAATCACTCCACTGTCTCCCCCTGAGATCTGGGGAATGGGTGGATGGGCCCTGGCTGGGGAATGGGAGCAGGGTGTATGAGGGGAGGGAGTGGTTAAATAAGAATGGGAAGCCAGCCTGGCCAGGGGATGGGTGTAACCCCATTGCCCATGATGAGTGTGTTCTGCCTCTGCCTTTTGAGGCTGGAAGGGTTGAGAAGGGATCCTCACTCGGGATCCAAACAAACCCAGGGACGGGATTCCAGACTCAGACTTGGGAGCTCGGCTGTATGGAAAGTAGATCCTGTCAAAGGAATGGGATATCTGTTTTTGATGAGATTACATGTTTGGTTGATAAAAGTAACAGTGTTGATGTAATCGTCCTAACTCTTCTGTGAGGTGTTTGGCATGATACCGCATGACAGTTTGATTAAAAATCGGATAGGTCTCCAATTGTCATTGTAAATGCGGAATCGTCATTGAGCGGGTGTGTTTCTAGTGAGGTCCTGCAGTGATCAGTTCTTGGCCCTATGTTGTTTAACGTTTCTATCAGTGACCTGGAAGAAAACATAAAATCATCCTTCGTAAAGTTTGCAGATGACACAATAATTGGGGCAGTGGTAAATGAAGAGGACAGGTCACTGACACAGAGTGATCTGGATCGCTTGGTACTTGGGCACAAGCCAACAATATGTTTTAATACGGCTACATGTAAATGCACACAGCTAGGAACAAAGAGTGCAGCCGTACTTACAGGATGGGGGACTCGATCCTGGGAAGCAGGGACTGTGAGAAAGATTTGGGAGTCGTGGTGGATAATCAGCTGAACATGAGCTCCCAGTGCAATGTGGTGACCTAAAACAATCCTGGGATGCATAAACAGGGGAATCTCAATTTGGAGCAGAGAGGTTATTTTACCTCTGTTTGGCACTGGTGTGACCGCTGCTGGGATCCTGTGTCCAGTTCTGGTGTCCACAATTCAAGGAGGATGTTGATCAGTTGGAGCAGGGGGCAGAGAAGAGCCACAGGAATGATTAAAGGATTAGAAAACCTGCCTTGTAGCAAGAGACACAAGGAGCTCAGTCTATTTAGCTTAACAAAGAGAAGGCTAAGGGTAAATATCTATACATATCTACCTGGGGAAGAAATACTTAATAACGGGCTCTTCAGTCTAGCCGAGAAAGGTCGAACACGATCCAATGGCTGGAAGTTGAAGCTAGACCAATTTACACTGGAAATAAGGTGTAAATTTTTAACAGTGAGAGTAATTAACCATTGGACTAGCTTACCAAGGGTGCTGACGGATGCTCCATCACAGAGAATCTTGATCTAAGAATTGTCAAACAGCTCTGCTCTAGGAATTATCTGGGGACAGGTCTCTGGGCTGGGTTACCCAGGAGGTCAGACTAGATGAGCACAATGGTCCTTCCTGGCCTTGGAATCTATGAATCCTTTCCCATGAATTCCGCATTGATTTAGTCCCAGCAGAGAAAGGTGCCCTGCGATAAATCCAACTCCACTGGAGCCACGGGCAAAGCTGCCACTGGGATTTCAGCCCACGTGCTCACAAATGCCCTGGGCTGCCCCTCTCAGTCCATTTCAGGTGCTAACTGTAGAGAGGGGGGTTGGGAGTGGAGGGAGACATTGTTAATTATTGCTAATTACAATGGGAGCCTCTGAGCCTGAACATAGGGGGTAGTGGTGCACAGGAGAGGGATAATAATAGCAGTACAGGTCATTTCTCTCCTAGCCCAGTCCCCCTACTGGTGCCCAGCGCATTTCCCTGCCGGGCTCTCTCTTTCCTCCCCCCACTGGCTACATGGCCCAGCCGCCGTCTCTGGCTCCCAGCTTGGGACTGGCCCTAAATGGGAACTGCAGTCCTTGCATTCACTCCTGCTCCAATGGCCTACGCTGAGCAGGGCCCATCAGCTGGCGCTGGCTAATCTTCCTTACAGCAAATGCCTCTCTCCCTGCCCGCGCCCAGTGGGGCTGCCAGCGCAGTGAGCGAGATGGCGGCTCGGCCCTCAGAGCTCGGCTGGGGACTCTCAGGTCTCTCCCGCAGCCACCCGCGTGTTGCAGAGGAGCCGGTGAAACCAGAGTCAGCCCCAGGAGTCCAGAAAAGTCTCTGGGCCAGGAGCTTCCAGAAGCAGGAAATGAAGCGAGTCCAGGCGCTAGAACTGAAGCTGTTTGCTGCTGCCAGAGTCCGAGGGCCCATCTAACCAGCTCCCTGTCCCACACCCGTAGAGCGAGGCCGGGACGGAGACCCAGGTCCAGATCCCTCAGGCTACAGGGAGGATCGTGTACCAAGTGAGCTTGTTGTCTCAGGCCCCTGCTCCAGCCCACGCAGTGTAGCTCCATTTTCTCTCTCTTTGCTTTTGGGTTCCCAGCTAGAGCCCTTCACACCAGCCGTCCCCAGTGTGTGACCTGGGGGTCTGATCCTGTGGGGCACGCAGAGCCCTGCAGGATCGGGCGCTTTGTTCAGGCCTCTTTGAGATCCAGCGTTTCCAAAGTGTTGGGTTATGGCCAAGTCTGGTTCCTGCCACACATCAGCCCCTGCAGTCGCTGTGCCAGAGGGTGGCTGAGAGCCCTGGGCACTCAGCTGCGGACCTCAGCAGGAGCCGGCAGCCACAGTTCCCGGGAGGAAGGCTGGATTAAGCTTCGGGAGCCCTGGGTTTAATTCCCAGTTTGGCCACAGACTCCCTGCACTGCCTGGTCTCTCTGGGCCTCAGTTTCCTATCAGTAAAATGGGGATGGTTCCTTCCTTCCTAGGTGTGTTGTGAGGGAGGCTGAAAGACAGACTGAGCTCCTGGGGTCAGATTGAGGACAGGGTGTTTGTGGGATCTCCTAGGGTATCTGGGGAAGCTGTTTGCAGCAGCATTGAGGGGTCTGCCCGGGTGGGGCCTGGGGCCTCCCTACCTTTACGGATACACTGCCATGGCAAGGTACTGGGTGCTCCAGTGGGCTTCTCTGCAGTGCAGCTGCCCTCATGTGCCCACCAGTAGCTGCTTTATCAGTTTGGCTGGGATAACGGGATGAGCTCAGGCTTAACCACAGGGACCAGGTGGGCTGTGGGGCCCATCTCCCCACAACCCTGCCCAAGAGAGTGTGATGTGCACCGAGGAGCCCCCAACTGGGTGACAGCACAGACCGGCCAGCCTGGCTGGTGTCTGATTTCAAGGGCCCCCAACATCCCAAACCAGGGGAAACTTGCAGACTGGGTTGGTTCAACCCCCAAATTCCGGGGCTGCCCCCATGGCAGAAGCTGCT